ACACACACACACACACACACACACACACACGCACACACACACACACACACACACACACACACACACACACACACACACACACACACACACACACACACACACTCACATTCTCTCCTCATTACACTCCCTTTCCCTACTTTGATGATATGCAAATATCCCTCCCACCCTCGCCTCCCCTCCGTGCCTCCTCCTTTCCTCCCTCCCTCCCCCTTCCTCTCTCCCCCAAGCAGCCTCCACCTCCACACACTCACACACACAGGCTAATGTACTGTGGCAGCGTCCACAGACAGGCGGGGAGGATCAATTTTTCACCCAGTGTGCTACCGATATTCATAAGATAAGGCCATAGAAGAGTGAGGAGAGAGAGGTGGGGGAGGGAAGAGGAGTGACATAGATGGGAGTGGGGGAAATGGCGAGTGGGTGTAATGAAGAAGAGGTAGGGTGTCCAGGAAAAAGGGTGAGAGGGAAAGGGGAAGACGACTAGGCAAGGATGAACACGGGTGAGAAAGTAGGGAGGGTAAGGGGAAGTCTCGTGGGTGTGCAGGAGGGTGGAGGCAGGATGAGTAAGTGGGTTAGGGGTGGTAGGAAAGGGGGATGGGGTGTAGAGAGGGCTCTGGGGGATGGGGTAGGGAATGGATGGGTGGTAAGGGAAAAGGAGGGATGGTGTGTGGAGGGAGGGCAATTTTGCTGACGTGCTCTCTTATTGGCTTGTTCAAACGCTGGGGGAGGGGCAGCAAGAAACCATATTCTCACCAGCTGTAGGGAAGAGCAGAGAAACAAAGAGAGAGACAGAGAGAGAGAGAGAGGGGGGGGAGGGGGGCAGATATGTGTTTTAATGTTGATATTCTGGTCTAATTAGATTCCTGTCTAAGTGGCGGAATGAATGGTGCTGATCAGATAGAAATAGGCGTAGTAGAAGATGGGAGCAGGCTTTGTTTGAGTTGGAGAATTCTGATTTGTGAAGAGGTTCTTGATCTATAATTAAATTTCACTTGAGAGACAGATAGGAGCAAATTGTCTCTCATGGATATATTCAAACTCTAATTTACACATGTAGAAAAAGGCTTCCTTCTGGATTGCAGCTGAATTTTAGATGACACGTCCTTGCTTTTATACCCCAGGTTACCTAATGGTTATGCAATATGTCTTTTTGTTAGGGTATAAGTGACAATAACGACATTTAAAATGATCCAAATGTGTGAGTCTCGGTTCGATGATAACAAAAAAGAAACATATATGGCCATAAGGCGTGCAATGTCTGCCCAGATCAAGTGTGGAAATATTCCAAATGTTCCATCAAATAAAAATAAAAGATTAAATAGAACAGAAAAATAAATACCATTCCAGCACACACAAGAAGGCAGATTGAGAGCCATGTGTTTGTGGAGCCCAGCTGAACCCCGCCTGCTAAACCAGTCCGCTGGCTGTGACAGACTGACAGGCAGGGAAATAGAGAGCGTGGTGTGTGTGTGTGTGTGTGTGTGTGTGTGTGTGTGTGTGTGTGTGTGTGTGTGTGTGTGTGTGTGTGTGTATCGGAAGAGAACACAAGAAGAGAAATTGAGACAAAGAAGCAGATTGACCAATGCAGACGGACACAACAGATAAAACAGAAAGGAAAGAGACAAACGGGTGAGACATGGCGACATTGGAGAAACATCCAAAGAAAGGAACGCACACTGTAGTGATACACAGAGAATGAGGGAGGAAAGAGGAGAGGGAGCCAAGCTTTCTGTGGCTTAGCCAGACTGGAGCGGTGGGACTTGGCTGGCTGTGGACCCTTGGCTTCACTATTAAAGCAGAGAAGAAAAAAAAAATCACAGTCAAAAAATGAAAAGGGCAAAGAGCTATGCCAAGAATGCACAGGCAAGAAGCAACACATTAGGTTATTTCCTTCTGCCCGCCTCTCTGTTTCCCCAAGCAGATCTAAACAATAGGTGTGAGCCGCCACCAGAGCCGAGCGCTATACACTGGTCGGAACCCTGCTGAGGGACCAAGGTTGATCCTTGAAGTTTGAAACGTAGCTTAACATCCCTTAGATATGCATTTTGTTTCATTCCAATGAGCTTTAAGGCTGGTAAAATTGTATTATCCCACACAGCCTGACTGTGTCATACATTTTATCAGCTTGTTCCAACCCTTTATTGAAGGTTTTTTATACTTGCAATATTTAAACCCAAGTAAGATGTTCTTTATGGTTGCATCATCGTATCAAATGGATTTTAGATCAATTTAATCTTTTTTTAACCAAATTCAGTTTGACATATTTAGGGCATTTGATAACTTTGCAGTCTACATTAGAATTTGATAGCTCTGTGCGTTTGATCAGTGTTTTGCTGCTAGTCTGAGCTTGTGATGAGTTATCCGTCAGCCGTCCTGAGTGTGTTACCACTTGTGTTAATAAAATAATGTATATATATATAATGAATCACACTTATCTGTCTGTAGCCAAGCTGGCAGCTCTGTGATGCTGTACTTAGCCACTGGGATGCTTTGAGCTAAATGCTAACATCTGTATGCTAAATTGATCACAATTACCATTAGAGATACAGTTGCAAGAAAAAGTATGTGAACCCTTTGGAACTACCTGGATTTCTGCATAAATTGGTCATAAAATGTGTTCTGATCTTCATCTAAGTCACAACAATAGACAAACACAGTCTGCTTAAGCTAAAACCACACAAACAATTATATGTTTTTATGTTTTTATTGAACACACCATGTAAACATTCACAGTGCAGGGTGGAAAAAGTATGTGAACCCTTGGATTTAATAACTGGTTGACCCTCCTTTGGCAGCAATAACCTCAACCAAACGTTTCTTATAGTTGCATATCAGACCTGCACAACGGTCAGGAGGAATTTTGGACCATTCCTCTTTACAAAACTGTTTCAGTTCAGCAATATTCTTGGGATGTCTGGTGTGAATCGCTCTCTTGAGGTCATGCCACAGCATCTGAATTGGGTTGAGGTCAGGACTCTGACTGGGCCACTCCAGAAGGCTATTTTCTTCTGTTGAAGCCATTCTGTTGTTGATTTACTTCTGTGCTTTGGGTCGTTGTCCTGTTGCATCACCCATCTTCTGTTGAGCTTCAATTGGTGGACAGATGGCCTTAAGTTCTCCAGCAAAATGTCTGGATAAACTTGAGAATACATTTTTCCGTCGATGATGGCAATCTGTCCAGGCCCTGAGGCAGCCCCAAACCATGATGCTCCCTCCACCATACTTCACAGTTGGGATGAGGTTTTGATGTTGGTGTGCTGTGCCTTTTTTTCTCCACACATAGCGTTGTGTGTTCTTCCAAACAACTCAACTTTGGTTTCATCTGTCCACAGAATATGTGGAACATCCAGGTGCTCTTTTGCAAATTTCAAACGTGCAGCAATGTTTTTTCTGGACAGCAGTGGCTTCCTCCATTTTATGACCAACTTATGCAGAAATCCAGGTAATTCCAAAGGGTTCACATACTTTTTCTTGCAACTGTACATTACAATGCTAGCATACTGATGTTCA